GCTATATAGGAATCTATATCACTCTGTGTTTAGACTATCAGTATTATTACTATCCTTCCCGAAAACATCTGATGGCACATACCATTCGAGACATTTTTTTTCTAAAGATTCGGAATATAGTCTTATATATCAAGAAAATACCTGTAATATATTCTTCTATGTAACAAACGAAGGCGCAAGAAAAGGTCGAAAGAAGAACAGATCACAGCTTAAAACGTCGTCGTGTCACCCAGTCCGTCACCTATATCTGTTGAAAATTCGTTTTAACGCGGTTTCAGCATTCGTAGAGCGTGAGAATATATAGTTTCACCATGAATACGGCGAATTTCTTGAGCTTTAAATATACGCCTTAATTAGAATCGCGTTTTTACCATCAATAATTGGTGAGAAACGCGTTTATATCCATCATAACTTTTTGAAAGCGCGTTTTCAACACAAATGTTCATCACTGTGTGTCGCCTTTTATGTTCTACTTGTAGAAAGTCGCATTTCGAGTTTGACTAACTTTAATTTCTGGCGCTTGTAAAAAGAAGATGTCTTTTTTCGTCAAATAAAAGAGTACTTTATGAGTTTTACTTTCGCAATAAATATCACTCAAATACAACCAGGCGATTCTTTCCAAAGGTTAGTGCACCACACTTACATCGTATTTAAAATCTAGTGACCAACTGGTAGGAAAAAAGCACCGAATGACGCTGCCACAACAAATGTTGCTATTAATAGTAGAGTTAAATCTAGTTTAAAATGCAGTGACTAACCATAAAACAAAAGACCAACTGGTACAAAGAAAGCACAGAATGACGCTGGTATTAAGCGGCTTCCAGGTATCTTACCTGAATAATATCGACCTGCTCTATCAGCTAATGAATCACCTGAAACGCAACCAATGAGAAGTTCTATACCGCTAGGAATATAGCAGAAACCAATGATTACTTCAATAAGATTATATGGCTTTGGGGATAACTGGTCGGGAAATGCAATTAGACTCATAAAAAATGTAGTAAATACAACTGTCATTAACAAAACATAAGGTGCAATACTTAAATCGGCTAAAGGTGCTAATGGTTTCCATGGAGCTGCAAAAACTGGTTTCTGAATCAGATCGGCTTCTATTGTAACGCTTACTAGTGCTTGCTGATGACGTTGTAAAACGAAATATTGATGCGTTTCAGGCAGAAGAATTAATATCATTATTATTGTCAGAAAAGCATAAAGTGTTAAGAAAACGAATGTACTTCTCCAACCAAATGAATCCCATAAACTATGACCAATTATGGTAACGGTTCAACGTTCAGAAGCAACGCTTTTTAAAATATGAAACTTTAACGATGTATGTGTAGACAGATTCTTTATACTTTGTCCTCGTTCACTTGTTCATTGGTGTTAAAATAAAGCTTCATCACTGAAACTAGACTCTGAAAATCAAAGACACTCAAAGTCTTTTTCCGTTTTGCGGCAAAACACGTACAACTTTAAACAAGACTATTTTTCTACTTTGCCAGCATTGTTCAGAAACACGCAGGCTACAACAGTATATATTCTCTTCTCTATTGCACCCCGCACAACGCACGATTCAAACACCCTAAAACAGTATCAACACGTTTTCCAACTAACTGCTTTACAATAGCTATGATCATATTATCCAACGCCAAAATAATATACACGATACTTGTATATATTTCAAATCCTAGTTACATTTTATTTTCACTCGTTTATATTCCATGTTGTAGTTCATGAAATTGTCGAACGAAGATGGATAGTAGTTGTGGTTTGCTATGAAGTTTCAGAACGAATCTGAGAGAGGGCCGATTTTGCCTGTTATCGAGCTCCGTCCCTTTTGTTCGACACTTTTAATTCGCAAATACCTTCATTTTCTTCTTTATCCGGCCACGATAGGAAGTGTCTTCTTATATACATACACTTAAGCAACATTAAGAATTGTTCGGATGTGCTAAAAGGAAAGACTAAATATCGATTGTTGTTCATTTTTCTGTTTTTCTTCTTCTCTCTACACATTTTAACATCTGTTCTAACAAGCACTTTTCTTATGCACAGCAATACAATGGTTCACCGGTTTTGTGTGCATCTGAAGCTAAATTGTCTAATATTCATTTCTACCTTTTTTTGTCGAAGTGATAAATAAAGTTTAAACTACACATCCAATATGTCATTTTGTAGCTTATCCATTCGACATTGAAACCTGAGCAAAACTGAACTTCACGTGCCAGGTAGTTAAAAGGTACGTTAAACATAAGACATCGATGCAGTATATTTTCCATTTTTTGAATAAAAGGCACATTCTTAAGCGTGTAGGAGACATTACGGAGTAGAGTAGATTAGTCTTTGAAAAGGTTATCTCTTTGTAGCTGGTAAAGCGGACACTGCAATAGGAAATGCTTGACTGTCTCTATTTTTGCACAAACACAGAACTGGTTATCATATAAACGTTTTTCGAGCAAGTGAAAATTAACACGGCAAAATTAACTCTCATTATACTCATTATAGCACTATATCGTATTTCGGTTCTGTGTCTCTAAATTTTGGCCATTTGTAGAACGGGAAGAAGGAATT